CTGGACGCGATGCCCCGACAAAGAAGCCTTTCTTCATCGACACAGGTAAACCTGGTTTCACGAGGCTTACCTGTGTCGATGAAGAAAGGCTTCTTTGTCGGGGCATCGCGTCCAGACTCCCCCGATCTGCCGACAAACAGCTGATCGGCAGATCGGGGCAGCCATTTAAATTTAAATGAAGCCGCGATTATTTTAATCGCGGCTTCATTTCCCCCTTCCGATCTGGCTAATCTACATGCCTCCGTCGAAGGAGGCATGTAGTCTAGACACACCCTTTAGCTGCAATCCCCGACGACACAGATAAGGGACAGATTCTCCAACGTGGGGTCTCTGTGGCAGTGGAAGTCCCAATGAAAGGCTGTAGCACCAATAAGGTTCCCCACTTTGGACTCAGTGCAACCCCTAAGAACTCACTGGGCGAAGCGGTGAAATCTCAGAAGACGGGACTGCAGCTAGAGTCAGGGGCGGTGGCGGGTGTATGATGCTGAATACGGGGACTTTACTAACCTCAGACAACCAGCTGCAAGGGTGGCGCAGAGGAAGACAAAAGACAGTTGTGGCATCACAAAAGGGGATGGAGAAAGGGACTGAGCACGGTTTGCACACACTGGCAGAAAGGTCTATGCAGTGGGGGGATTGCAGCGGAGGATTGCTGATGAGCAGGCTACCCTCAGTCAGGGCTGGCCTGAGCCATTTTGGCACCCTGGGCCCCAGGCGGGTGGTGCTGCCCTGGGCGCCTGTGTGAGCCTGTCCCCCCAGGGTGCGCGGGCCCGCCTCCGGGCACATGGCGCACACGCGAGCCCGCCCCCCATGGTGTGCACACGACACATGCGCTGCCCAGCCACCGCCGCTGGCACGCAGCCCGGGGCTGCACGTGCGGGCTGCACCTGGCTGTGCAAGGCCCCACGGCCACGGGGAAAAGGGCACTGCGGCGGTTAACGTGGCCTCTGCCCCGGGTGGCCACTGCAGCCTGCCGGGATCCGGGCTCACAGCGCCTGATGGCAGCTATGAGGGGCGCCATGCGCCCCTTACAGCTACCATCAAGTGCTCCCAATCTGTTGGCACCCGGGCAACTGTCCAGCTTGCCCACCCCTTAGTCCGGCCCTGCCCTCAGCAGATATGCATTCAGCTCATGGGATGCTATGTTCACAGAGCTCCTCCCATCTGACTCCAAACAGCCCTCACTGAAGAGGGCAAGACAGTAGCAAGGACATCTCTTCAGGCCTCCCTTGACTTCGCTGCAAGGACCCTGTCCTTGGGGGTGGTCATGAGACATTCCTCATGGCTGTCAGGGCAGCAATGGTATATAAAGGCTGACACAGAAGTCCCAATTCAGAAGGCTCCATGGTCAACCTCGATGGGAGCGGCTAGAAGAAAATATTTTCAACACCCGTGCACGTGATGCATGTGCACCGTACTGAAATCACATGGGCAAGCACTCAAAGAATAATCGTTATTATGGTGTTTTCCCTTTCCCTTTTAATAAAAGTTTTCTTCTGTTATACACAGGCTTGCTGCTTGCAAGAGGGAAAGGATTGCCTCTGAGAGGTACCCAGGGTGAGGTTTAGTTTTCCTAGATTCCTGGCTAAGGAGTGGAGCTGGTTCTGTTTTGTAATGTTATGAAAAGCCCTAGATATTGAAGGCCTGAAAAAAGAAGATTAATTGGGGGAAGGACCCAACAGTATACTGCATACTGAGCCCCTCCTCCCCAGAGCAATGATTTAAATGAAGCATGCGCATTTTCAGGATAGTTTCCAAAACAGAAAAATTAACTGAGTAAAGGACCTGAGCAATGCCCGGTAAATCTGAGGTTTATAATAAAATTGGGAGACCGGATGATAGGGTAGGCAGACCATTCTGGGGTCATTTCTCAGGTGGACCACAGATTCCCTTTTCTGACCGTGAGCAAGTCTCTGCTCCCTGCGGTGCCTCGGTTTCCCCATGTGTAAAAACGAGACACCAACAGAGACTTACCTTGTAGGGATGCTCAATTGTTTTCCATGTCCACTGGAGGTGGGACAGGAAGTAATAGGCTTAACCTGTGATTCTACATCTATCAGAGATGGTCTAGACATGAGGGCAGGGGACTGGACTTGATGACCTCTCGAGGTCCCTTCCAGTTCTAGTGTTCTTTGATTCTATAACCTGCATCCAGCAAGATTTCAGTTGGGTATGAAGAACAGTGTTTCAACGACATAGATAGCTAAGCACTGGAACAAGCTCCCAAGGGCGATCATGTCCCCTTCATGGGAGATTTTTAAGAACAAGTTAGGCAAACACATGTCAAGGGAGGTCTAAGGTTACTTGGTCTTGCCTCAGCGCAGGGGACGGGACTTAATGTTACCAAGTCCAACGTTCCTAACAGTTCTAGGACTCTATGGGGGCTGGGCGTTATGGCTCTGGTTGCCACACATACCAGGTGGAAAGCAGGGGTAGGAATCTTACCAGCGTCACCCCTTGCGGGGTTCAGGGCCCAGGATAAGCCCCCTCCACTCCAGACCCCGCTCCTGCCTCTGCCCCCTCTGGAACCTCCTTGCTCAGGGGATTTGCTGGGGGGGGGGGGGCTAGTGCTGGAAGCAGGAGTTGGGATGCCCATACTCACCGTGACAATGGAAAATACAGCTCCGGGGCACAGCGTGGGCTGGGGCCGAGGCGCTCTGCTTCCCACTGTTGCAGTGAAGTGGAGCGACCTTGCTGGGAGATGGTGGAACAGAACAGCCCAGAGCTAGGTCGCTCTGCTTCCTATGGCTCCTACCGGTCCCCCCAAAGCGGGAGGCTTGGGCAGCCATCCCAAACCATCCTACGGACAGGATGGCACCGGCTCTACACTTCAAGCCCCTGAATGAGCACTACAGTATGAGCCCTCTCCTGGCCAGAGGCAGCAAGATCCTCAGAACAGCTCCCATTAACCCCCCTCCACATCCAACCCTGAAGGTCTTATCACAGCCCTAAAGACTTACAATCTCCCAAGTGTGTGCTGACTGCCTAGCTGGGGGGGGAACTGCTGCCACGCCTGCCCTAAATGTTCAGGAACTGAAAGGCAAAGGCTGCTCTGAAACCTGACCCAGCCTGCCTGCTGACAACTCAACACTTAGGCCCTTGGCCTCCCCAGAGCTCCTGGGGGTGCCCTTTAGCCTGCAGCATGCCCAGTGCCACCCACCGCGTCAGCACCAGCTCCTCTTTCAGGAACTCTCCTCTGCTGCTGGCCTACTTATGGTCTGCAGTTGGCACAGCTGACAGGTTCTGTTTGAAGCCCTCTGGGAGGTTGCAAATAGTTCTCCCAGGAAAGTGGAGCCAGGAATTTTGCTGCTGTGCTAGATGGGCATTGGGCACACTAGAGCAGTGGTAACCAACCAGTCGATCGGGATCTACCGGTAGATCCTGGAGCTTCTGACAGGCGATCCTGACTGGTTTGGCCAAGAAGCTACCAAGTGCTGGCACTTCAGTTGCCTCTTCACCCACTGTCATGCTGCTCCTGCCCTCTGCCTTGGCGCTGTCATGCTGCTCCTGCCCTCCTGCTTGCTGTGC